ATAAAATTTTAGGGTTAGTAGTTTTAGACATTGAAGTTTCGAATGAGCAAAAAAAATCGAAAAAAAAAATTTTATCGAGTGCCTCGTATCCTCGATGCTGTCGTGGACCCTCTCTTAATTACGAAAGCCCTGTCAAAATCCATTACGAAAGCCGTGTAGAAAAAATGATAACAGGGCTTTCGAATTACGAAAGCCCTGTAAATGTCTCGTTACGAATCGTTATATCCCCATCAACTCATAAATAATCGCGTGTTTATCGCTCAAATGAATAAATCATTTTCATATGCTCAGACTACTCGGAGTTTATATCTATTAAAATGACACTTTCAGTTGTTACGACAGTTAATATTTATCACATTATAACCGATGATGACTGACATTTGAGCGGAGAGAGAGTGACTTGTCGAGAAAGAAAACCGTCTGTGTGTATGTAATGCAAATGCTTCAAAGTATTACTTTTTTTCTTCTTGAGACTATTTTGTTTTGCAAAATGAATCATTCTCCAAGAAAAATTAGATTACACTTAATTGATTGACGACATGTACCTTGAGTTTATTCTGGAAATTCATCGATTTTTGCGAGCAGGTGATTGTTGACCTTCTGTTGACTTACTGCTACAACTAGCCCCTCCCCCTCCTCTCTCTGCTTTCTCCATCATTAGCTATACTCATACGCATACCCCACAACTACACTCGTCGATACCCACACATCCATGAAGGATTTAATCCCATATGGAGTTCAAGACTCAAGCTCAGCTACAGCCATAGTTACACCCTCAAAATTATCCCAACCGAAATCAAAGCAAAAACCATATGAAAATTGTTACTTTATCAAAAGTAAAATTTTTGCAATAAAAAAAAAACAGTACATAGTATTTCCAAATTTTTATTTGATTGAATAAATATTTTTCTTTCAATACAAAAAAACAGTTCATTTGAAACTTTACTTAATTCACAAGTCTCATTTGTGATACGAAATGGTTTTATATTCGTTCATTGAACTAATATTTGTTGTGATTGTAATCCATTCATAAGACCAGTTTTTATATTACGCATCAATGTTTCTTGAGTAATTTCAATGAATCCTGCATTTTTTTGTTCTAAATTAAGTCTTTGTAAATCTTTAATTACTTTTTGACTTCCATAGTAAGCATGACGGACAACATCTTCTTTAAATCCATGACCTAAAGTTACACATTCAACATCGTTGACTAATACCGTATGACCTCCATTCAGTACAAAATTGTACACAGCATCACAGGAAATTTCATGAGGCGATGAGACAAGTGAACAAGGCATAGTCCATTGTCCATGAAGTCGAATAGGATGCCAAGCAGTAATGATCAAATCATTTTCAAGCTATTATTAAAAACAAAGTTTACGAAATTGATGATGTTAAAAAACTACAATCACAACTAAACTAATCATTTCAAAATAAAAACAAGACAACTTGAATGAATTATAGTTTATATCATTGAAACTATTTGACAAAAAGAAAAGAACAATGATACTCACGATAACCATTTTTGCTTTTTGATTTTGACATTTTGTTTTAACAACAAAGATAACCGTTCCGCCATGTGATGCCATGCGATCACCTGGTATCACGTCTCTTACCAATTTAGTGATTCCATTCATTAGACGTACTGTACATTCTCCATAAAAGCATCCTCCAGCAGCATCGTGAAAGACGGCCATATTTATCGAAGCCCTAATGTCCGCGCCAGAATAAAAAAGGGGTGAGTGTAAGCTCAATAACTCGACAACCGCAATACCTAGCTACCTGCGGTTTTCACCAATCGAAAGAGGAGGAGCGGGCACGTCTTTTTCTTCGATAATGTATAAGACGAAATTCT